CTGAATTCTAATTCCTACCTTTACACAGTGCATCTCTGCCGGGCGTCAGCATCAGTGGCATCTCCCGCTAGAATAAGGAAGTAAGGTGACTCAGTGGGAGAAGGAGTTATTTAAATCTCAGAAACAGTTTTGGGTTGAGTGCCAGGTATAAAGTGGAATCATTTCATGCCAACACTTTCCATAAACTATATTTTAATATTTTTGTCCAGAAATATTTTAAATTAATATTGAGGGTGGGGCATATTTGGAATCCACATTATTTGGGGAGAAAGTATAAAGCAAAGTGTCTTTTGTGATTGTTTTAGAAGAACTGTGTTGAGAGAAAGCCATGCTGCTGATCCCACCCCATTGGTGGATCTGGTTGCATGCTCTGTTGGAGGAGAGTTAAAACATTAATCATTTTTGCCTCAATGTTGAACTTCTGAGAGAAGCCCAATAAGCATAATTTTTGTGCTCTTTATCCTTTGAAGGGGTAGTTTCATAGATCGCGATGCATTTTTCCATTTAGATCAAAGGGAAGGTAAATGATAGACCCTGGTCAAATCTAGCTTGGTACCTATTTAATTATATATAGCCTGGGAGTTAGGAAAAGGTTTTACATTCTTGAATGACTGAAGAATAATCAGAAGTAGTATATTTTATGACATGTAAAACTTATGCATTAAATTTCATTGTCCCTAAGAAAGTTGTATTCGAACACAGCCATACTCACTTGTTTGTATGTTGTCAGTAGCTGCTTTCAAGTGTTAGTGGTAGAGTTGAGTATTTTCCCCAGAGAGTTCACTGCTTACAAAGCCTAAACTATTTGCTATCTGGCCTTTTCTAGGACAGAAGTTTGCCACTCTTCATCTGTAATAAGTACAATTCAAGACAGAAGCAGAACCAGCCCCCCAACTTCTTTTATATTTAAATGCTTAACCATGAATTGGAATGATAGTTCTGGTAATCCGAACTCTCTTCTGGGGATCACAGAGGAGGCCAAGATGCATGAAGCTTAGTGTAGACAAAGAGAAATTCAACAAAAAATTTCAAATTACATTTTGTGTGAATCAATGTAATTTTTGCGTGTGGTATGAGAGGAAATTCTTTGAAAATATTTAATTGTGATAAAAATTTGTAGTTTACACTTCATTTAACCTATCTGCTTATGCCATGCTCTATTCAAAAGCAATGCAAATCGTTATGAATTTAGCCTCTCACAGCCCAAATAATCTGTGCTATCTTGGAAGAAATTGAATGTAATTTAATAAAACTGAAGTTGAGTAAACTGCCCAAAATCTAGTTTGAGGAATATGAATTTATTTATACCTCAGAAAAGGATTTAGCAAAACATTAATCTCTTTGAGTTTATTAGAAATTCCAATTATCCTTGTTATCTTGACTTACAGGAGAAGTTTATGTAGTCTTTGCCTTTCCTATTTCTTACAAAAGCATCACTTCGTTTAATTATAGGTTTATTTTCTTAGCCAACCAGGGTGTCACTCTATCCCATAATTTATGCTTGAAAACTATGACTATCACCTGCATAGCAACTGATGGGACAAAGTTGTGTAAAGACCCTATAGTCCAGAATATTTTGAATCATTTACTACCATAATCTCTGGACTAGGCTTTGAAAACCTCACATTAGGTTTCATGAGTGGGTCTGGGATTTCAATAAAATGCCATTACAACTGAAGCAGATCCAAGATGGGACAACTGGGAAATAGTTAGACCACTTATGGCACAGTGCTGCGGTGGATTACAAAAGCACCATTCCACGTGGTATGGAAACCATGCCAGTAAGCAGAAAGAAGTATGTGAAATAACATCGGGACTGTGGATAAAACAGTATCCATCCTTAGGGGAAGCAGCACCCTCAAAGCATGGTCACAGCCTCATGCACATCCATGAGCCATTTGTTATGTCTCCGGTAGGAAAGATATGGAAACCCAGAGCTACTCTTTAAAAGCTTTTACAGGAATTTACCAGATTAATTTTAATGTTGAATATAAAACTGAAAAAGTAAGTTTGTATGCTTCTTTCAAGTTTTCCCTTTAGTGATTAATTTTTATTGTATTTCACAAAAGTATTAATCTGTATTGCATTGAAAAAGTAAAACTGGTCCTTCCCCACAGAGATGTTGAGAAATTCTTTGTGTATTGAAAACAATAATGTTCTTGTTAACGGGAATTATGTAACACATTCTTCAAAAGAAATGCCATTCTATGGACATTGCCTTTCTATTTTCAACAGCTAAGATGTTGGCTTGACAGTTGCTTATCAAATTGCTGTATGTGACTAGAGTGAGTCATTTTAGTTTTCCTCTAGTTTAAGAAACTTTTAAATATCCAGTGCTATTATGTGCTGCAGCAATATGACAACAAAATTCTGTTTAAATGACTAAATCATTGCAGGAATATAATTTAAGGGGAAGAAACAGAAATTCTACTGAAATGTGTAGATTAAATTGGTGTGCAACCAAATAGAAATGTCAGGATCTTCTACCACTTACGATGCAGAAACTAGTGCACTGAGGCACAAGAAAGGAATTTGATTTACAATTTGAAGGAAAACCAGCAGTAAGATAATTGAGAACTGGAAAGCAATCTCCCTCCTGCCAAATTGCTTTCCACTATGCATGCTCCATTTAGGGGCAATATTTGGATACTAACATTCAGTTCATGCATATTTTCTTTCCCCTGAGAATATTCCATCCTGTCAGATTAGGACGGTTTCTCTGCTGTGATCAGCAAAAGAGAATATCCAAATTACACAGCATTCGGTTATACTTACAGCTTTGTAAATATAAAATGGTTGGTTTGTTAAAGCAGAAAGGTAATAAACTAGCTGCTAATGGGAACATTGTTAGGGCCTAAATTGTAAATGCATAGTCTCATTTTAAATGTTTTAATTTAAGTTTATGGGAATAGGGGATATGAAAAAATATTTCAAATTATAAAGAATTAGTAAAATATTTGTTAACAATAATGACAGAAATTTTACTGCTATTACATCAGTAATAATTTGTGATAAAGATTTGATGAGTATCACTCTTGAGATCTCTCACTGACTTTTCCCATGAAATAGAAAGTAGATCCTGCTCTTTTTGCCTAACTCCAGGCACTAATCCCTGTAGTTCATGGATACATTTATAAAATATCTGTTGTACTGTCAACCCCTTTCTTAATTAGTTCTCCTGGGTCATGGACACATTTATTCATGTCATTATAATCATGGAAAACAGTGATGAAATTTGACTTAAAAGTTTGGTTCTTGTGCTGTGTGTTTTTCTCATAGAATCACAGTTTTGTGCCTTACACGGGACAAGGATTTATACATCCAAAATATCTTTATATGAAAACATCTGAAGTCTTTTGCTATAAATCAAGGTGACTTTGTTGAATAAATGTTTTGTTGTTATTGTTGTAGGCACAGTGTAGTTTATCTTGCAAAACTTGGGTGCTATAGTTAGCACATAGCGAGGTATTATTGTTAAAATTACCATTGGACATCTCTTGAGAGTGCTCTGTGGCAAACATTCAACACAATTTCTCTCTAGAGAACTAACACTGGATGTTTCCCTCATCTTGAGAACAGGTCAAGATTTTGTTGAGTGTCAGATAAAGTAGACTGCCCTGTTTTGGGGATGACGGTGGGGATAATATCTAAAGAAATAGGTATATTTAAAGACCAGAGTATATAGGATGTCACACTGTGAGATGTAGGTTCATGGGCACTGACACTTTTGCCCTTCATCTAAGGAGTTTAAAAGCATATTCAGCTTGGAGGTGTTTAAATATGCATTCCTCCCTTCTGAATGAACTAAGTCTCATCTTTCTGAGGACACAAGGACAATTCATGATGTTCCCGTCCCACTTTGCATGTAGGAAACATCCAAAAGGTCTTCAGGGAGTTGAAATAAAATTCAAATGGAAAATTTTGCTTATATTTTCATGCCAGAAAGAGTGTGCTCTAAATTTTTAACTTGATATTTGAAAAGTTAACTTCACCATTTCAAAAGCTTACAGGCTAGTTTGTGGGTGGTCTTATTACTGATCAGAAAATGGACTGGTTTTCCATGTGGTTTTTTAAATGGAATGATTTATTTACACATTCGACTTTTAGAAAAATTTCCGTATTTATACTTTCAGGCCCAGTATTTCTCATGTCAGCTACAAATCCTTCCCCATAAAATATAGGCTTCCTAATTTTATTACCACTTTTACACCTTTTAGTAAAAAGGCAAAGTGTTTATACTTTGAATATGAAGGTAATATCAAACTTTCCTTTCTTCTAGGGTCTTTGCTTTAGCCATATATTTTGAAAGCACAATAATTGACAGAAAAATATAGGTTCATATTAATAAGTTAATAACTGCACATAATAACCTTGTAGGTTTTTCCTTCTTATACAACTGCATGACGCTTTTCCCTGCTATGATTAAGTAAAAAGATTAAGATGTGTTATGTACACGTACCATCTCCCCATGATGAGTGTAATCATTATGGATGAAAATATGTACTAATAAAAGTTTTTAAAATTTTTTTTTCCTTTAGGCAAGATGCTCTGAGTTGATTTTTTAGTTAAGATAAATTTAGGAATGTAACATTTGGTACTTTTGAGACTATGACCCTTGAGGCAATATAATTTGATTTTTATGAGCTAGCATTCCATAATGATTTAGATTTCAGGGCCTGATTTTAGAGTGAGACTTCTTGGGACCAAGGGATATTTATTTAGCCTCCATGTACCTTAGTGTCCTCTTCTATAAATGAGCATATTAGTATAAATCTATTCTAATAAGCAGTATGTATAAAATAGTTGAATCATTATCTATATGCTGTAAATTCACAGTAAGTGATGATGATGGTGATGATGATATCAGTCTTGCACACATAAGAATGAGCTTACTCCTTTTTTATACAGAATGGGCTGTCTACAGGAGAAAGGCTGATTAAAATGTAGTTTAGTTGCTTTGGTGTTTTGGTATTTCACCTCCCTCTCTTCTCTCCTTGCAGGTGGCCCCAGCCATTAAGGAGAGGATGATGAAGAAAGGAAGCCTCATGCTGGGGTACCAGCCCCACCGGGGAAAGGTTAACTTCTTCCGTCAGGTGGTGATTAGCCCTCAAGTGAGCCGGGAGGACATGGACTTCCTCTTGGATGAGATAGACCTCCTAGGTAGAGACATGTAGCTGTGGCTTTCGGCCCCTCGGAGGCATGGATCATGTGCTGGGCAGGGCATCTGGAGACACATAGTAGATTATAGCCTTTCTAATGAGAAACAGGAATTGCTCCCACCCAGTCATTGTAAAACGAAGTTGCTAATAAGCAATGGTGATAAGGATTCTTGTTGCCAAGAATCAATAACGCTAATGTAAAAGAGGAAGTTTTAAAAAGAATGAGTTTCTCAAGGATTGTCTCTGGACATAACCCTGAAGAGTTTAGTAAATACCATGTAGATCTTGGGTTTTGATCTTACACTGCTCCTTAAAGAACCTATAAACTAATAGTTTAAAGCAGCAATTCTCAGACAGTGGTTCCTGTCCCGGCAGCATCAATATCACCTGGGAACTTTTAAAAAACAGATGCACAAGCCTCACTTCAGACCAACTAAATCGGAAATTCTGAGAGTGTGCCTCAGTGTTCTGCTTTAACAAGCCCTCCAAGTGACGTTGATGCATAATATAATCCGAGAAGCACTGTTTTTTTCTTTAAAAATCTTGTCTTGATTGATTAATGCATCTGATATTTTGCCAGCAAAAGGACATCAGTAGCCTTTGAGCCACTTTGAAAAAATACAACCAAGACATTTGTAGTACATATTTTAAAGGCATCAGGAGCATGTCAACGCTATTTTTTAAGAGAAACTATATAAAGACATGTTTTTATAAACTATATAAAGACATGTTTTATGCAAGCTGAATGTTTATTTTCAAAAGTTAAAATTAACTTGTCTATTTTAATTTATGTTAAATTAGAGACGAAGATAAAAGGAAAACACTTTGAAATGTGGCCTTTTCAATCAGTGAACAACAATCCTAATTCACTTCCCCAAATCATTTGCTTCAGTAGTTGCGAGTAGACGTTACACAGATAGACATGTGCATGTCTGAGTCCCTCTCTTAGGTTTAGAGCTCATTTTCCCCTTGCTCTCTGCCTTGTAGGGAATAACCAGAATAAAGTCCGGGGTTCTACAACATTCCCATTTCCAAACTTCGACATATTAGTGTAGACTTTTAACTGGTTTACAGTATGTGCAGAATCAAGGAATCAGAGGCCTTTGATGGAAACAGCTCCATCTTTTCTGAGAATGAATAATTATAATTTCTGATCCTGATCCTTGATTTTTAGGAAAGTTTTATTTGTCTAATGAGTGGGTGGAACAGACAGATGTGGCTGTAGAGTTAAAGCTCTGTGTTGGAAAATGAATATTGAAAATTGCTCGCAGTGCGCTTTCCTACTTCCTCATTGACTTGTGTCATTTCAATTGTGAAAAGCAGATGTGGACTCTTCTACTTTTATGTATACTTTTATTGTAGGGTGCATGGCTTCTCCATATCTCCGTTATTCAAAGAATGTTCTGACCCTTGTTCTGAATTACTTTGAATAATCTAGTGATAACTATTTATGTGTGTGTACTTCGTGTTTGTTTTTGACTTTCATAAAATGTTCCTAAAATTGATGTTTGCAGTAATTTGGACTTTATGAAATAAAGAGCAGTATTAGTGCACTTTGTGTGGTTGACCTTTCCTGTTCTGTCGTCTCCTTTTTATTTCACGACATCAGTGCATTTTAGAAGTCAGCGCTTCAGTTTAACAACTGAGGAAATAGGTTGCAAACTTTTTGGTTTTTAGTTAACACCTTGACTAAAATGGCAAAAGCAGACATAAAAAAGTGTAGACTTGTCCATATGTATTCTTTCTTCTCGTGGGCAATCCTAGCAGAAATCTGACTGCCATAGCTCAGCTTCTGCTGTGACGATTCCTTGATCAATGGTTTTCTGATTGATCTTTTTGAAAAAATACTGCTACCAGATATATTGAAAAGTACATTTTTTCTTGAAATGCTCAGCCCACAATCAGCTATTTCAATAAATGGCTACAAAAGTTAATTATTTGATGAAAAGGTGATTATAATCCAATCATTCATTTATTCAGTAAAATATCTGTAGTGTGCCTTCTATGTTCCGGGTAACTACCCAGAGGCTGCAGATATGCAGAATGAAATATAAGTCAGAGTTCTTGCTTTTCTCAAACTTTTATTTCAGTGGAGGTAGGTAATTAGACATAGATATTTAAAACTCAAATGGAGGTAAGTATTTTGAAGAAAAAAAAAGACAAAAGAGTTGGGTATGGAAGTGAGAGGAGTGGAGCGAGGTACCATTGAAAAGTTGTTTAGGCAAAGGAAATGTTGAGGTGGCATTTGAGTTGGGACTTTAGAGCGAGGGAGAGAATTATGTGAGTAGCTTGGGAAAGGATGTTGCAGATGGAGAGCAGAGTAAGTCAGATGCCTGAGAAGTTGCCTTCGTGGTGTGTACCAGGCCCAGCATGGAGTTCACCGTGACTGAAACATAGTGAGTGATGGGGCGAGTGGTAGATGATGGAGTTACACAGCGTCCGCTAGGTGGAAACCTAGAATTACACGTGCACACTTTAGAAAAGCTGAACAATGTATTTGTGTAACTTAAATTTTTGGGAGGAACATGCTGAGTAGTGTTTGGAGAATGCAGCGTGTATACGCAAAAGTAAACTTTGGAAGACCAAACAGGAGGCAAATGAAACAGTGCATGACGACCGTTTATATTAGAGCTATGATGGAGAAGGGGTCTGACTCCAGAGGCAACTAGACGTAGAGTTGCTAGGGTTGACTGGTAGAGTGCAGTGTTGAAAGACACAAGAGGAATTAAGGTTAGGCCCATAGACTTTTGGGCTGGGAAACTATTAGAAAGGAGTTGTCACTGAAATGAGGACTAACTGCAACAATAATTTTACTTTGTCCTTCTCATACACAATTTATAAATCAGCTAACTCCATAAGTTTTATAAGTGATTATTTGAGTCTCAACTTCAGAGGGGAGGTTCAAGTGAAAGATATAAATGTAAGAACCAGCATCAGCATGAAGATGTTAGTTGAAGTAATGGGACTGGATGAGACAAACAGTGTTTGCTGATAAAATGGACAAGTAGGTCAAGGACTGAGCCCTGGTACAATGACTCAGAATGAGAAGAAAGCCACAAAGGTCCCTGCGAAGGAGCCTCCAGTGATACCAATGGAGAACCAAGACAGTGTTTTCCGAGGGCCAAGTAATGAAACATTTTTCAGGAAGAAGGTGGTGATCAACAATTTTGAAGGTGTGGATGAGTCAGTGAGAACTGGAATTTACTTTAGAATTGGCAATGTGGAGGCTGTATATTTGTGGAAATTTTATTAGATAAAAACAAACATTTAGAACATAATTTTCAATATTTCTTTTAGCAGTTATCAGAATCTAACTGGCTTTGAGAGCAAGTAGCCTATTTGGTGATCCCAGGAAACACAGTTTGGAGACTGGTGAAATGAGTTGAGGAAAGGAGACCAGCAGGGTGAACATCGGTGAGCACAGAGGTGCTGTGATCAGGTTGGACTGTCTTGCTAGTGACATCTGGAAAAGGGTATAAAACATGTGAGGGGTGACCTATCCGAGGCTAAGGAAGGTGGAGAGGTAACTGATTGCCATATAAAATGGTTGAGGGCTGGGTTCAGGGTCAGTAACTTCCTGCCAATCTTGACCGTACTTTCACGCATTTGCAGTGTCTTTGGGCAGTGAAAACAGGTTGTGCCTAGAGCCTCGAGCAGGATTGGTGATTGTTAAGGAGTTGTGCAACAACTTCTGAAACAATGGACAAAGAGAAAATGAGAGCCACTCCCCACCACTAGCCATTTTCCTCTTGAAGCAAATCTAGAAAATGTGGCTTTTTGGTTTTTCTGTGTGTCGTTTGTTTCAACCAGATACAGTGACACCACGATCATATAAGTAGTTTTCCCAATAATAAAGGAAATAAGAGGGTGGTTAGCTACTTATAATCTTCGCCACCATGACAGAAACATGGAGTAACACTAGCTCTTAAAAGTAAATTTTATTTTATTTTTTTCTCATAGCTCAGTATTAACTGAGGTCGATAAATTTGATTCCAGTTAAATTGTTTGGGATCCAGTCAGTCTGGCTGGCTCATGCTTATGTAATCCAACCGGAAATGGGTTGATACAACCTGGAATGTCTTACTCCCCTTGACTCAATTAGAATCCATTTTGAACTGGAAAAAAGTATGTATCTAATTTTACTTCTTTAAGACCAGTTTGGTTCCTCTTAATTTAAAGTGGTACTCTTGTGAGAATATTTTGATCAATTAGAATTTGTTTGGTTCTGAATTATTTATTTTATACCGTTTAACTTAAGAAAAATTGGATGAAATTTATTTAATCTAATTAGATTCAGAAAGAAATTCCCACAAGTTTGAGGACTCTCTACTACAGAGACCAAGGATGATCATAACAATAATTACCATTTACTGAGTTTGTGTTATATATCAGGACTATTCCAGCTGCTTTACATGAACATATTTATTCCTCACTGAACCCTTTCAAGTGGGAGTTTTTATTGCCTTCAGTTTATGACAGGGGAGGCTGGGGCTCAGTTTAAAAAAATTTCCCAATGCTATCAAGCTACCAAGTGGTGGATCCAAGAAATCTAAATCCAACTTGTCTTAGAGAACAGGCTGTTGTCTTTTCAATTTATTGGTAACTATCGCAGAGGAAGACTGATCCCAGCAATGTGACTGTTGCCTAACTATCACAATCACTTACCAAACACAAGCATCAAGAACTGAGTTGGTCTCCAGGGGCAATAATTCTATTATACTGCCACGGTACATTTCTGAAAACAGAATACAGTCATTTTCTTTTCTGCTTTTTGCCATAGAAGATGAGGACAGTATTACAGAAAGAACCTTTTGAGTTGAAATAATAAGAAATGTTAACAGGGACCATAGTGTTTATGAGGGGCTGGGGATATAGCTCAGTGACATAAGCACCTGCCTGGCAAGCGCAAAGTCCTGAGTTCAATTCCCGGCACCAAAAAAAAAAAAAAAAAAAAAAGAACTTGCATCCATAGTGGTTATAAGAACAATAATAATTTCTGAGTGTTTGGCCATGGTTTTGTTTCTCTGATCTTTCCCGAGTTCTATAACCACATGTCCAAAGGCTTACTTGACAATCCCATTTGAATGTTCCAAAGATACTTCAAAGTTTTCATGTCCAAAACTGATTCAAGATTCCCTATCCCCAACCACACATTTCTTCTCAAATTTGTTCCTTTGTCTATGTTTTCCATCTCAGCAGATGATACCATTTTCTACCCATTTAGCAAAGGGGAAATATATTTTGCATGCTTTATATCTCTGTTGCCTTCTGCCCACACTGTCTAACCTATTAGGTTTTGTTAAATTTACCTTTAATGTGTATCTCTAATCCATCTATTTATCACTATCTCCATTATCAAGTCCAAATTCCTAGCTTCTATATTCCCTAGACTCTAGCAACAGTCTCTTTACTGCATCTGGGGGTTGATGTTGTACTTTGTTCAATCAACTTATCAAACTGCAATCAGATGAAAAGACAAAACTGACTTTTTCTCTTTTTTAGAAAGCCTTCAAGGGGTTTCTGTTTGCTCCTAGGATAAGCAAATGCTAAGTCTGCAAAAGACAACTAGGACAACCACTGGTCAAGCAAGGCTGGGGCTGATAATGCTCCTGTACTGAGGGAGGACACTGCTTTGAATGTCTTAGGGCTCTCTGGCCGGGCAAGTTACAGGAGGATGTTTACTGGCCTTATATCTGGGTTCAAGTGGCTTAAGATAAGTCAAATGGATTAGGACATAATTTATCTTGTAATAGGACTAGAGACTACAGTGAAGTGAGAGGATTGATGCATATCACTATAGATAAACTGCAATTTGATGTCATGGTAACTAAACTGCAATTTGATAAGCTACTTCTGCAGATGAGCACTCTTTTGTCCTGATGAGAGAGATAAGTCAAGTGTTTGGCTGAACTGACTGGCAAGAATTTTTGATGTACAATCTTACCTTTTAGAATGAAACAGTTAAGCCATGTTGCCCATATGTGATTTCCAGCCTCAGTCCTGATAGGTCACGTGGAGGCAAATGATTCAAATTCTCAGGATAAAGATCAAATTCTGTGAGTGGCTCCCAGGATCCTGCATCTTCCAAGTCCCATAAAGTTTCAGGTTTATGTGGTGCAGCCTTATTGATGTTGATGTCCAGAAAATGTTGGCCTCTTTAGCTCCTACCTCTCCGTTCCTCCTGCATGTTAAAACCTTTGGAAATGGTGTTCCTTCCTCCTCCAATGCTATCTTTTCCCTTCACCTACAAAATGCTCACAGTTGAGATCTCAGGTTGATTCTCATTTTCTTAGGGATGGTTCTCTGCCTGTCTCCACACACCCAAAGGGTATTGCATCAATATAAGCTATCCATAATTTTATTAAAAAATACAAATATAATTTTGTTAAAATATATATGTCATATATGGGACTGAGAACATAGATTGCTCAATAAATAATCATGGAAGTAGCAAGAATTAGCAAGTCAGTGCATTAATTTATCTTTGAGAAAACTTTATTATTTGGGCCCATTTAAATACATAAATATAAAACAACTTAACCCACTATCCTAGAGAAAACTCTTAAGTTAAC